TTTTCCCAGTGATCCAAGCATAGGCCGTCTGTCATCCTGTTTACTGGCTTCCAGTTTGCCAATAAGCTACACTTGCTGAGTATTGAGTCTCTACAAGATAAGCCTCTGTGGTAGGCACAGAAAGAGGAATCAGCGGGGGCGGGGGGGACTGCTCTCTGGCAACACCTGTACTTCAATAAGGGGGAAGGATACCAAAGCAGTTCTTGGCACTGACATCTTCCTACCTGTTCCCTTGTGCCCTTCTCGTCCCAGCTCAAGGTCTAACCAGCCCCTCCTATGACTGCCTTCCTTCAGCCTTCACCACACAGGGTACTTCAGGGGCACTGGACTCACAGAAATGAGTACACTCACAGCTTATGGCCTCTGCCGCACAGCTGGACCTAGGCCAGCTCCTCAGCAGGTGGTGAGCAGCCACCATGTCTGCTGCTAGGGCCATAAAATCCACTCTGGACTAAGGGTCCCCAAGTCTCCCTGCTGGCAGGGTTGCACACTGGTGGGAGGGAGTAGCCCAGGGCCCCTGCCATCTGCCTGTCCCAACCCAGCCAGACTTGAGACCCTTGGGATCACAACTGCTGCGCACAGAAAGACCCACAGAGAGGTGGTGGGGCTCGGCTGGGATACTGTGCTGCTGCCTTTCCAAGGCCGCCTTCTGTCTGGACTTCTGCATGCCTTTTCTTGCCGGGATCTGTGAATCAGCGGCTTCCTCCTCACCTCTCCCACCTTTGCAAGAGAGTGGGATAGAGCAGAGGCCCAGGAATCAGATAGCACGAGGCATGTCAGTTGCAGTCTTCCAGAGTTTCAGACTTTAGTGTTTGTTAGGCACCAGACACCCATATATTTTGCCCATGTTTTGTTTAGCCCTTACACAAGCCTATGAGATAGCTATTATCCTTTTTTTTCTCTTTTTTCCAGAACTGGGGATTGAACTCAGACCCTTGCGCTTGCCAGGGAAGTGCTTATTCCACTGAGCCATCTCCCTGGTCCCTGCTATTACCCTATTTTGAAGATGAACAAACTAAACCTTAGAAAGTTCTCCACATTGGGGGCTGAGGAGATGGCTCAGTGGAATACGTGCTTCCTTGGCAAGAACAAGAGCCTGAGTTCAAGCCCCAGTTCAGCAGAAAGAAAGAAAGAAAGAAAGAAAGAAAGAAAGAAAGAAAGAAAGAAAGAAAGAAAGAAAGAACTTCCCCACCTTGACCTGATCACCTGATACAGTATTTGTTGATCAACTACTATGTACTAAGAATTACAGGTGTGACAATAAAACAGACCCAGTGGCCTCTCTCCTAGTACTTCCCTTCTGCAGTTGGTCACTTGCCCAGGGTGAGGTGACACGGGTTGGACCCGGTTCTTAACTGTGCGCTTGTGCTTTTCCTGCCACACCCTACAGAACTCATTCGCCCTCAGAACATTCTACTCCTGGAGAACATGGACAGTGCCCTTGCAGCGCCACCGAGGACTGGGGAGCAAAGAGGGTCTGTGCCAAAGTCGCCACTTCTGGAGCCTCTTCCCTCCACACCCCTTCCCAGAGGCCCTAAGCGTTCCTAAGGCTACCGGAATGTGCCGCCCCTGCGATGTTCCCTTTCCCCCTCCCCCTCCCAGGAAGGAGCTTTTCCCAAAGGGATTTTCCCACGGGGCCTGAAGAGGTCTCTGCTAAGATCAGAGTGGGACCCGCACTTCCGGCCAAGGAGGGGGACTCCCCGGAGTATCTCTGGTTGATGGGCGGGGCCTATTGTTTTTCTACCCAGGCCCTTGCTTTACCAGGCTTTCAAAGGAAGAAAACTGAAGACTCAGTTGGTGGAGGACTAAAATAAGCCTCAAATCCAGTGGCTGCCTGTGATCTGGGCTCAGTTCCTGCCTCCGAAGCTAGGCATGGTGGAACACACCTGCAATCCCAACACTGGGAAGGTTGGGACAGGAAGCTCACTGTGAATCTGAGCTGTGTAGCAAGACCCTGTATCAAAACCCAAATAAATAAAAGATTTTGGGGCCGGAGAAATGGCTCAGTGGAATAAGTGCTTCCCTGGCAAGCACAAGGGTCTGAGTTCAATCCCCGGTTCTGCCAAAAAAAAAAAAAAGATTTTACTAAATGCTGTGGAAGCCTTCACATAGTGAAATACTAGGTAACCATTAAAATCATCACATTGGGGCCGGGAGATGGCTCAGTAGAGTAAGCGCTTCCCTGGCAAGCGCAAGGGCCCAAGTTCAATCTCTGGTTCTGCCAAAAAAAAAAAAAAATCACATAGAAGAAAATCAGCTGAGAACACTTTATAATAGAATAGTCAAAATTCAGGTCACAGGACTGAGGATATAGTGGCTTACCCACCTGCCTGGCAAGTGCAGTGTCCTGAGTTCAATCCCCAGTACTGAAGAAAAAAGAAGTCACAAAACACAGTGTGAGGGGCTGGTGAGACAGCTCGGTGGACTGCACCTGCTTAGGCAAGCACAGGGGCCGGGGATGATCCGCATGCCGTGCCAGCCCCACCCTGGAGCGCACTGAGCTGGCCACCGAGACCAGGTGTGGTGGTGCACACCTGTAATCCCAGCACTGGGGAGGCTGAAAACAGGAGGATCACTAGAAGTCCAAGCTATGTAGTGAGACCCTATATGAAATACATTTTTTTAAAAACCACGTGATGTCACTTTTTAAAAACATTATATATGCATAGAGAATGTCCAGGAAGGTATGTAGTTGTAGTTATCCCAGTAGTAGAGTTGTAAGCATCTGGTCTTTCTGTTTTTGGTCTTTCCAGATTTCCCTCAGTGAGAGTGTGTGTCCTCTGTAATCATGGAGGAAAACAGGCTCGCAGTATAGAGAGCAGAAAGGTTTGCTTGTGGCTCTTCACCTACATGGCTCACAGCTCCAGCCTCACTCCTGGAAAGCAAATGATGCAAAAGTTGCTGGAAAAGCCTGGGAGCAGGGGCCGGGGAGATGGCTCAGTGGAATAAGCGCTTCCCTGGCCAGCACAGGGGCCAGAGTTCAGTCCCCCGTTCCGCCAAAAAAAAAAAGCCTGGGAGCAGAGCAGTAGGGCCACCAGCCCGTCCCAAGTGTCATCGCCAGAGAGGCTGCCTGTCCATCCAGCCTGGCTGACAGGGCCTGCCCACCCCTACATCTTCCACCCCATTTCATTGCTCACATCTGCACTGACCCGTCTGCACAGCAGCTGGCTGCCTCCTTTGTGAGGAAATGCAGACGTGCCTGGCAGCGCCGTGCCATAGGCACTGATGCTAAAGCTGCCTGTGGCGGTAGGAAATGAGGCTGATGTCATGGAGACAGAGAGCTGGCCTATGGGCCAGACGCAGATAGAGCTCAGTGACCAGGGGACCTGGCTCAGCATCAGCAGTTGGAGCTGTGGCTTAGAGGTGTAGGTGAGCAAGCTTTGTGCTCTGCCTTTCACATGTGAGGAAAATGAGGGGCAGCCAGCGCGTCTCAAGATCCCTGTGTCTCTCGTGTGTAGTTCTGCGCTGCCACCAGACATCTCTGTGTCCCCGTCCTCTCGCCCAGCCCCTCACAGCCTTCGTGTCTTTCTCCACGCAAGTGTCCAGCCCAGCCATCCTGCTGTATCTGCTACAATGAGGAAGATGACTCCAGGAGGCTGGGTCCCCTTGTCACTTCCAAGTCCTCACACTAACTGACCCGCACCGTGGAGTGCTTCTCACACCCCCACTGCACTTGCGAGGCCTCCTCACTCTTCCTTTTCTGAGCTGTGGAATGGGGCACAGCCCCAGGAGAGCGCCTCTGCTGCTGTCCGCCCTGCCAGGTTGGCATCCTGTGCGGTAGCCTTGAAGACCTGCTTGCCGCCCTGCAGACCTTCAGTTCCTGCAGCCACCCTGAGGCTTGCCAGCTGAGTGTCTAAAGGCATCTGCTAGCATATCCCAAGTTGGGGTCCTTGGCTTCCTCCCAAACGTGCTCCGTCTGCAGGCACGTGCAGTTCCAAGAATGGCAACTCCATCCTCCCAGTACTAAAGCCTAAATCCTGGGAATCCTCCTTCACTCCACTTATGGGGCCGGGGAGATGGCTCAGTGGAATAAGTGCTTCCCTGGCAAGTGCAAGGGCCTGAGTTCAATCCCTGGTTCCGCCAAAAGACAAAAAAAAAAAAAAAAAAAAAAAAAAAAATGAGGCTTCACTCCGCTTTTCCTCTAATCCGTCAGAAAATCCTATTGGCTCTACTTTCTAGAATCTAACCACATCTCAGCTCTTCCATGCACTGTCCTTAGGCTTGCTTCTTTCAGGTACTTATTCACAATTTATGTTTTTAGATCTCTTACCTTCCTTGAAAATATTTATTTAGAATTTTTTTAAATTTTTTTTTTAAATTTTTAAAAAGGCCAGGTATGATAGGACATGCCTGTAGTTCATCATTCAGGAGGCTGAGGCAGGAAGGTCACTGTGAGTTTGAGGTCAGCCTAAACTTCATCGTAAGATCCTGTCTCAACTCCCACCCCCAAAAAGTTTCTGCACTGCTTCTTGGCCCCCTCTGTCCCCACTTTTTCTGTATTGTTTTCTCCATGGCACTTGCCATGTTTGACTACTATATGTCTAATGTATTTCTTTGTTGGTTGTTGGTAGCCCCTAATAGACCACCAACTGTACAAGGACAGGTAGTTTTGTGCACCCCTGTGTCTCTAGAGCTCTGTGACAGTGTGCGGCATGGAGCTGGTACTCTGTAAGTATCTGTTAAATAAATACCAACTCAACCCAGCTATAGTAAGAAGATGAGTGTTTATGCAAGGCTTTGGGACAGGGTGGAGAGAGCACTGGGGCTTCTGCCAGTGTAGAAAAGCGTTGGTGGGCCAAGTGAGAAGAAACACCCCGAGTGGAGAGGGCCCCTTTTAGGGGCCACGCTGCCAGGGTCTGCCTCTGCTGGCCTCGGCCCTCAGGGTGCTGGGAAAAGCTCTTCCCAGATGAACCTGGTATTCAGCCACCATCCAGCCTTGCTGGGCTCAAAGGCCCGCCCTCAGTGCTCTGTTTAATCATTGACTTTCCTTTTTTCTTCAGGTTCCAGAGTTTGCAACCTGTTAGAGAAAACATCAAGGTAAGAGAACAATACTGTCTAGTTTTGGACTTCCTGCTGAGCGGGGCATGGAGAGGGCACTGAGACGGGATGCTCGGAGGGACAGCAACTGGATAAAACAGTGTGAACCCTGAGGCCAGGGGACAGGTCAGCATTGTCAGTGATGGCTCTGAGGCCTAGACCTGGTGTCGCAATCTGTTTTCTGTTGCTTCAGGAGAGTATGTAGAGGG